TGACTGCCATTAGGTACCGAGATGAGATCCTCAGACCCCTTGTGAGACCATATGCTGGTGCGGTTGGCCCTGGGTTCCTCCTAATGCAAGACAATGCTAGACCTCATGTGGCTGGAGTGTGTCAGCAGTTCCTGCAACACGAAGGCATTGATGTTATGGACTGGCCCGCCTGTTCCCCAGACCTGAATCCAATTTAGCACATCTAGGACATCATGTCTCGCTCCATCCACCAACGCCAAGTTGCACCACAGACTGTCCAGGAGTTGGTGGATGCTTTAGTCCAGGTCTGGGAGGAGATCCCTCAGGAGAACATCTGCCGCCTCATCAGGAGCATGCCCAGGCGTTGTAGGGAGGTCATACAGGCACGCAGAGGCCACACACACACTACTGAGCCTCATTTTGACTTGTTTAAAGGACATTACATCAAAGTGGATTAGCCTGTAGTGTGTTTTCCCACTTTAATTTTGAGTATAACTCCAAATCCAGACCTCCATGGGTTGATACATTTGATTTTCCTTGATAATTTTTGTGTGATTTTGTTGTCAGCACATTCAACTAAAGAACAAAGTATTTATTAAATATTTCATTCATTCAGATCTACAATGTGTTACTTTAGTGTTCCCTTTATTTTTTTGAGCAGTGTACATTATTTAAACTGGAAACAATTACAATTTTTAATTGGCATTAATTGGTTCATTTTTCTTGTACTATGCAATTGGTTAATTCTTATCAACAGCAGTTGACAGTAGACGCAAGATGAAAAAGAGACTTTGCTTACACACCATTGAACTACACACTCTAACAGTACCGGAGAAAGTACTCTGCTTACAGCAGTTTAAAATAAAACATTTTTGTAACAAATGCCTTTTTCTGTAATATTAAATAACAATCCCTATATTGGAGTTGTAAAAACACAAATATACAGTATATATACATTTATATGTTGCAAATAAAGATAAAAACAGAACAAACTTGAAATACCAGTGTGAAACTGTTGATTTTAAGTGTTTACATTTGACATCAGCAGCATGTGTTCAAGCTTCATGCTTGATTGCTTTTTGATATTGCTTTCCTCTGCGCTCAGATGTTAATCTCATTACACACTGATTTTATGTTGGTTTTTATGTAAAATGACTTTCATGTTGCTGCTCCTCCTGGACATCATCAAAAATGGAGAAAGTCTGATCATATTTGAGTTTATATACAAAAAACAAGGTCCGGTGTTTGTGAGGTTTTTCTCACAGTTTCAGGTGTTGAAAAAGTGAGTCATCGGCTAAATAACATCAGATTTCTGCAGCTGGGAGATTGGTGGTGTTCACCACAGGTCACCTCAGGCTGAACTGAACTGACACTGAACTGTTTTCATCTAACAAATACAGATAGAGAGGAAATGTGTTTAATGTGGAGTAAATACAAAAATCAATTTGCAAATTTTCATTGATCAGTGTTGTACTTTTAGTTTTTACGAGCCAAAAACACTTTTGCTCTTTTTATCATTTTGCCTTTTTTTTATGTTTTACGTGTGTTGTTTTTCAGTGAAAATCCTTTGCCCATGGTGGAAATTGCCATTAGAAACACAGGTGACGCAGACCAGTGGTGCCCTCTGTTGGAGACTCTGACAGACGCAGAGATGGAGAAGAAGATTAGAGACCAGGACAGAAACACAAGGTCAGTGTGGAAATCTACTCTCACTTAGATATTGTCTTTCTTTTTCTCCGGTAGTTGCGTTTTCTCTCTCTTGTTGTTTGTGTTTGACGTCGTTGTCTTCTTTTTCCTCTCCAGGAGAATGAGGCGATTGGCAAACACACCTGCGTGGTAGACGGGACACCAGCGTAGGCTCTGTCCTTGTTGTCCTTGGCCCCTCCCCCACCTCGTGTGAGACTGAGGTACTTGGTTACACGCATGGTTACACATCACAGCTTGACGTTTATCTGTTCCACCAACACCTCAGGCCTTACTTCTTCTTAATAATCAATTCTGTTTTTATGGTTAATTATATTTAGTACTGATTGGCCAAGTCCCCCGTAAGACCCCACCCCTCTCCCTCGGTGTGTGTTTTTTTTTTTCTTCTCTGCGTGGAGAAGCTGCTCTCTCTCTGACCACTGACTGCATGAGAAAATGTCTGTCACTGTCTCAGAGTAATCTTTCCTCTTCACGTTGTTATTATCTTTTGATTTTAATAATCCTTACAAAATTAAAAAAATGAAAGCTGCTTTTGTCTCTCTGTGTTTTTGACCGTACACCCTCTTTTATATCCCAACTGGGTGACGCACCCCCAGTTCACTACACCTTAGAGAAAAAAATATTCCTGTAAAGGCAGCACGTTTAATCATGCTCAACTTATAGCTTTAGCTTAGACCTGAACATAACACCGGTAATGAAGTTCTTTGGCTGGAGTAGGATGAAGATGGGGAAAAAAAAGTCCAACATCAGCCACAGCCCTGCTAATGCTAAGATCAATTATATTTTTTTGTATAATTCATATATATATATATATGCCCATATACATATATGTTTATATATACGTATATATGTGTTTATATATATGTTTATATATACATATGTGTATATATGTACAGTATATACAGTGGGTACGGAAAGTATTCAGACCCCCTTAAATTTGTGTTATATTGCAGCCGTTTGTTAAAATCATTTAAGTTCAATGTTTTTCCTCATTAATGTACACACAGCACCCCATATTGACAGATTTGTTGACATTTTTGCAGATGTATTTAAAAAAGAAAAACTGAAATATCACATGGTCATAAGTATTCAGACCCTTTGCTCAGTATTTAGTAGAAACACCCTTTAGAGCTAATATAGCCTTCTTTAGAGTCTTTGGGAATGATGCAACAAGTTTTCACACCTGGATTTGGGGATCCTCTCCAGTTCTGTCAGGTTGGATGGTGAACGTTGGTGGACAGCCATTTTCAGGTCTCTCCAGAGATGCTCAGTTGGGTTTAAGTCAGGGTTCTGGCTGGACCATTCAAGAACAGTCATAGAGTTGTTGTGAAGCCACTCCTTGGTTATTTTAGCTGTGTGCTTAGGGTCATTGTCTTGTTGGAAGTTGAACCTTCAGCCCAGTCTGAGGTCCTGAGCACTCTGGAGAAGGTTTTTGTCCAGGATATCCCTGTACTTGGCCACATTCATCTTTCCTTCGATTGCAACCAGTTGTCCGGTCCCTGCAGCTGAAAAACACCCCCACAGCATGATGCTGCCACCACCATGCTTCACTGTTGGAACTGTATTGAACAGGTGATGAACAGTGCCTGGTTTTCTCCATACATAACGCTTAGAGTTAAGGCCAAAAAGTTCTATCTTGGTCTCATCAGACCAGAGAATCTTATTTCTCCCATCTTGGAGTCCTTAAGGTGTTTTTCAGCAAACTCAATGTGGGCTTTCATGTTTCTTGCACTGAGAAGAGACTTCCATTGGGCCACTCTGCCATAAAGCCCTGACTGGCTGCAGTGATGGTTGACTTTCTACAACCTTCTCCCATCTCCCGACTGCATCTCTGGAGCTCAGCCACAGTAATCTTTGGGTTCTTCTTTACCTCTCTCATCACCCCTGATTGCTCAATTTGGCCGGATGGCCAGCTCTGGGAAGGGTTCTGGTCATCCCAAACGTCTTCCTTTTTTTTTCTTTATAACTTTTTTCATTGGAAGAAATTTCACGAAAAGACATTGACACAGCATTATAGTCTTCCATAACCCCATTTTTTTCCCCTTTCCAAACCAATTTCACACAACAACAGGAACAAGCAGACTATACCTTTATGAGCAAAAAAAAAAAGAAAAATTAAATTTAAAAAAACTAAGATAGCTAATAAATGAAAATAAAAAAATAAATTATATGAATAAACACTAACTTAAAAAAAAGGGTCTGGTTTTCTTCCTCAAATAAATCTTGAGGGAAATGTTTGTAAAGGGAAATTACCCCGGCATTCGTGAAAATGTGCATGAATTGAAGGATTTTAAATCATGTTATGTTTATTGCAACAGCCTTATTATCTACCTCATATGGCAACATTTATAAGGATAGTGTGAAAATTTAATCAGTAGGTCCCTTAAGGACAAAGAGATTAGAGAGTGGAGGAAATGTTGATTGAAGATGGATGGATGGATGGATGGATGGAAATGTATGTCTCAGAGTCTTTACTACAGTGTTTATTCTATAATCTAGGGGGCACACTTAGAGCCTAGGGCTCACTGAAAAGGAAGCATCTTGCTTAATAATCAGAAGCAACATCCTGCAAACAAGTCCTTAAAAGGAAAACACACGGGCAAAGAGTTTCGCCCTCATGTGACTCAGGAGCGCGCCCCAGGGAAGTTTACAACATGTAAGTTCTATGAGCGTGCATGTGCTGCCGGAACTGCCCCGACAGCATATAAGTAAGCAAAGCGAGAAGGGGGTCGTTCTTCCTCTACAGATCGTCTCTGAAGGTGGTAAGAAACCAGAGCTCAGTTTGCCTTATTTTACTTCAATAAAGCTTTTATTTTTGAGCTACCGTCTCATCCTTCCTCATCAACGAATTCGGGGGAACGCAAGGGAGAAGTGTCGTCCCGACAGAATCCAAGGGTTCAACCATCACATCCAGGCAAAGAGCACCATTCCCGGAAGTACTGCAATACCAGGCCGATGCGTGGAGTGGTCAGAGCAAGCTCCTATACCATCTCCTTTGTCCAAAAGTCAACTAATATATGGTCCGCGGATAGGGGACATATCAGATATTAAACTGATATAAACAGATACTACACTTGATCTTAGCCAAAAGGCAGAGAAGCGATGACGCGTTGCTCGCTAAGTAAAACTTCGGGTTCTCAGCACACATATGTTGACTGGTGGTGGTAAAAAGTGTAGCAGAGCATAGGATAGCATAGCATACAACAGCCTAGCATACATACAACAGAGTAACGTCAGCCAATTGTGACTACAGTGCTGTCAACATTGCCCACTGCGTTTTGTCTGTATGACTGCAGTGCTCCAGTTAGGGCTTTGTTGCCCTACATACATTGTCCATGAAATAAAAAGCCGGAACGTATTGCGAAACTAAACAAAAATAGAGAAGATTAGCATAGCCCCTGCGCACGGACGACGCGCAAATTCGAGAAGTGTTCCTCATTTCCTAGCACTGCTTGGTTAACAGCAAAAAAAATTGTATTTTGACAGGATGCGACTGAAGCCTGCCTCTGTATCTTGAAGTCTTTCACCGTACATTTCCAGTGTTTACATTTGTGACGTATGTAAGAAAAAAAAGTCAACTTCCTTGAGGATGGCGCCACGCAATGGCTGCGACAACGGCTACCACTAACACCTACTTTAACGTGGGGATGCGATTGTGCAAATTTCCAAGCAAATAAAATGGATCATCTGTATAGAAGCTGTCCGTAAAATAGAAACCCGCAATTTATTGAGATATTAAAAAAACCAAAAAAAAAAAAAAACAAACAAAAAAACAAAGAATTCATATGGCCCCTCCGTTTAGCAGATGGGGTTCAATCTTCTCAGTTGCTTGTTCCAATTTGGACTTTCAAACTTTATATATAGACACACAAAACGACTGGCTTTTTTCAGATATGGTGTAAATGCAAATCAGCGATAAGAGCTTTGAGGCAAATATCTAATTTAAAAATACGATACTTTCATTTGACATTTAAATTTTACGTTTCTTTCCAAAATCTTAGATTACTTTAAACAAATGTCTGACGTCGACACGGAGAGCATGCAATTGAGCCTTAGTCGCCAGCTAATCACAGTGCTTGACTCAAAAGACGCCACTTGTTGTACGTAATAAAAGGAGGTTATTTTTATCAGGGGAAACTTGGAACTCACATCCGTGTAAATTGTTTCATTTGTTCTTGTAGATGGTCATCTATCATCTCAGTCTTGTACTTTGCAATGGGGTTCCCTTTTCAAAACTGTTTTGAGCTGCTTCACTCTGATTACTTTGGAACATTTCCCTCTGCTTCTATAAGGGATTGGGGCCTTCTAACTTTATGAAAACAAATAGAATAGAATAGAATAGTCCTTATTGTCATTTTTACAGCAGATGTACAATGAAATTGAGGGTGCTCCCACAGAGCTACCATGCACCACAACTAGAAAAGACAAAAAGAAAGTATCATGAAAATGTAGACTCTAAACAATGCTATAAACTGTAAACAATGCTATAAAAAACTCTCCGAGGTACTGGAAGAGGAGTAGTGCAAAACAGAATATACATAGATTGTGAATGTATATTAAACAGAGTATATATACATTTTAAGAATTGGAGACTTAGATTTTAATGTAAAAATTGTGGAAAATTGTGTAAAATCTGGGTATATAAATACATTTAAAAGTAGAAAGTGGAAAGTGGATGTCAGACATCTCTGTGATGCCATTGGAAACAAAAAAAAGTGGATTCACAAAATGGTTCCAAATCTACTGGAGTTTTTTTCTTCTTCTTCTTCTTTACCTCTTCCTTTGTAGTGCCCCCCCCCCCCTTTGCATTCCCATCGATACCAGAAATATTGTCCAGGTAAAACATTCACGTCATTTCTTCACTGACAAGAACCACAGGATGTGATGTCACCCGACAGCAGCAGTAGCAGCAGCAGCAGTTTCCATTTTACCATCAGTTTAGCGCTACTAAATCTCAACTTGAATGCCAGTTTTGAAAGCAATGAATGTGAGCATATCTTTTATTAAACTAAGAGCTTGTGCCGACTGGTGGGAACACAAACTAAATTGGCCTATACAGGTAAATAGCCCGTTTTTCGAGTAGTTACGCACTTACGGCCATACCACCCTGAACACGCCCGATCTCGTTTGATCTTGGAAACTAAGCACGGGCCGAGGAATACCAGGTGCTGTTAGCATTTTCGATCAGTAGGGGTTGCTCTTCTTTTTTATACTGCTTCCTTTTCAACGTCTTGCCTTTGCTGTGCACGAACCGAACCTTGAAGTTCAAACACTGGCAGTTCAGGAGGAATACAGCAGGCGTCGCTCCTGAAATTGTTTTTGTCATTCACTTTTTTTTTTTTTTTTTCCATCTCCCTGGATCTGTCTGCTTTGCCACAGCGCCAGAGTCCCAGCCTACTGCACTGCTCTGCACAGTCGGCAGGCTCTCTGTCTTTCCTGGGCTACTGACACAGGTCCCCAATGCCCACTCCCCTCCCCTGCCCTTCGTGGAGCTGAGTCCCACGGGCCCAGGCTCCCACACTCTCAGAACCTGCTGGGCCCAGGGACAGTGAACTCCCCCCGCCCCACCACTACCACCACCACCACCACCTGCACAACCAGGCTGTCCATTTGGTCCCTGGCACCCGCGCTTAAGCACCCACCGCGCTGTCTTGCCCTTAAACCCCGGCCGCAAAAGTCCAACGCCCCTGGTAACCCAAATGGAGGTTCGCTCCCCTGGTAACCCAATGCATTTCTATGGCTGGACACTTTGTCGTTTTTCCACTTATGGCCTACGCGCCCCTGGTAACCCAATGCAACAACCGCTTTCCCGAAAAACAACCATTGCTGACGGTGCTGACCACTTGAACGTGGGAATACATGCAGGGGTAAAGAAGCCGTACTTTCATGTGAATCTAATACGAACTTCATTTTAGTCATGATAAATCACCACAACCAGAAGATTCTACCACTTTTGGATTTCACAGCTTGCGTTTCTCAGCACATGTCCGGTAATAACTATTAACTCTGTCCTTGACAGAGGGGTAGGACAATGAGATGCCCATGCAATCAGCAAGTACGTTTATCTTTTGCAACAGCAGTGGGTGCACCATTCCCGGAAGTACTGCAATACCAGGCCGATGCGTGGAGTGGTCAGAGCAAGCTCCTATACCATCTCCTTTGTCCAAAAGTCAACTAATATATGGTCCGCGGACAGGGGACATATCAGATATTAAACTGATAAGAACAGATACTACACTTGATCTTAGCCAAAAGGCCGAGAAGCAATGACGCATTGCTTGCTAAGTAAAACTTCAGGGTTCTCAGCACACATATGTTGACTGGTGGTGGTAAAAATTGTAGCAGAGCATAGGATAGCATAGCATACAACAGCCTAGCATACACACAACAGAGTAACTTCAGCCAATTGTAACTACAGTGCTGTCAACATTGCCCACTGCTTTTTGTCTGTATGACTGCTGTGCTCCAGTTGGGGCTTTGTTGCCCTACATACATTGTCCATGAAATAAAAACCCGGAACGTATTGAGAAACTAAACAAAAATAGAGAAGATTAGCATAGCCCCTGCCCACGAATGACACGCAAATTCCTACCACTGCTTGGTTAACAGCAAAAAAAATTGTATTTTGACAGGATGCGACTGAACCCTGCCTCTGTATCTTGAAGTCTTTCACCGTACATTTCCAGTGTTTACATTTGTGATGTATGTAAGAAAAAAAAGTCAACTTCCTTGAGGATGGCGCCACGCAATGGCTGCAACAACGGCTACCACTAACACCTACTTTAACGTGGGGATGTGACCGGATTGTGCAAATTTCCAAGCAAATAAAATGGATCATCTGTATAGAAGCTGTCCGTAAAATAGAAACCTGCAATTTACTGAGACATTTTTTTTGTGAAAGACTTCAAGATACAGAGGCATTTTTGCTTGAAAAAAACCCCCAACACATTATTGCAATTTGTTTTTTTCCTCAAATTCTAAATGTATTAATCAAATTAAGGATGAAATATAAAATAATGTTAAAAATACAGATGAAGAAGATGTAACTTTATGAATAGTTAACACAGTCAACTGAACAGAAAGTGAGCAGAGCTTTTACACCAGTGGCACATTTCTATTGGAAACATTTCTCCTGCTTTGCACTGTGTAGCACTTACTAACACTTATTCAGGCATTTCCATGACTCCCTAACAAGTAAACACACACAATGATGGTTAAATATCCTCAGCTAGTGACTCATGAGGTTTGAACACCTCCTCTGTCCATGGGCAGATTCGATAAGCTAATGCGTGTCTTTAGGTGTTTTATTAATTTGTTCGTATCGTACCACAAGTCTGCTAACATTGTTGACCTTTCTAAATGAACTACCCATGAGGACACATACTGTAACTGCAGTAGGAAAACACATAACAGCGGCTACTGGGATGGGTGTTAATGCATCACTAGAAACTGGATTTTTAGGTGAATTGTTTTTTTACCAATAGGTTGTGTTTGAGAGAACAGTGAACAAACACATATGTCACACACAGCCCATGACTTCGTCTCTCCAGCCTCACGCTCGTTTTCCAGCTCAGTTTCTCTCCGTCTCCTTATATGTGTTTATCGCTCTGACGCTCATAAATCATTGCCATCGCAGCCAGATGCCCAGACTGGTGCATGTGAATCAGAGCCGAGGCCTGGACGTATGCAGATTGTGCCCTCATCAGTGATCACGAGCTGTTCTCCAGCGAATAAAGACTTTGATGGATCTCAGTGATCCACGTTTCTTTCTCTGAACTTCAACTGCTCCGTCTGAGCCGAGATGGGATTAGCTTTGATTCATAACATCTTTGGTGATCTGGGCTCATCTGTTGGATGATGACTGAGAAGGAGCTGAGGTGCTTTACTTCTCTTTGACAAATTCAATCACACATCTACTGTATGTCTATAGCAGTGAGTGTATGCTTGACAGTGGGATTATAAAATGCTACTGTTATTTTAAGGACAGGCTGCACATGTTTATTAACAAATTCACCTTTTAAATACATTTTTAATTCCATGACCGTTACCGCTGGTACTAGCAATTCAAGTTGACAGCCTTGTGATGCAGTAGAGACAGAGAAAATCCGAGATTTACATGTGTGTTCAGTTCAAAGAAAATACTAAGGAAAGAAATAAATTTCAGCTGAAAAATGTTCCCCATCAACCCTTTACCCAACTTAATGGTTTCCACTTTGGTAAAAATGGGATTTTATGGCCTGTTTCCCAGAGGACAGAGTGACCAGCACCAACCCTTGTCCACAGATTAACTGCAGTCATGGTCCACTCCAGTCATGAGCCATAAAACATCTGCCCCCTGAAACACACACACACACACACACACACACCTGCCTTTTCATCTTAAATGAGAATAAACCATGTTAAATTCACTTGGGGTAAATAAAACCTCAAGCCAAATTTTTAA